CAAATCCAAATCGGTGGGTGTGGGTGGTAGAGGAAAACCCCCAAAAGCTACAAAATCCATCTCCAGATCTCAAAAGGCGGGTCTCCAATTCCCTGTTGGCCGAGTTGCTCGGTTTTTGAAAAAGGGTCGTTATGCTCAGCGAGTTGGCTCCGGTTCACCGGTTTATCTCTCAGCGGTTCTTGAGTATCTTACTGCTGAGTTGTTGGAACTTGCTGGGAATGCTGCGAGAGATAACAAGAAGAACAGAATTGTTCCTAGGCATATACAGCTTGCTGTGAGGAACGATGAGGAATTGAGCAAGTTGTTGGGGTCTGCAACAATTGCTAATGGTGGGGTTCTGCCCAATATTCACCAGAATTTGCTTCCTAACAAGATTGGCAAAGGGAAAGCTGAAATTAGCTCTGTTTCTCAGGATTTTTAGATATGTAGGTGTTGTATTAGGGGATTGGGTAGTGAACTTTTATTCGTTCATAATGGTTTATGTGAATGACAAGTTTGTATCCTCATCCTATTAAGTTGAATTGTGTAGAATATAATGAAGAAAAAATTAATGGGTTTATTTTAATTGTCTTTGCTTCCGTTTCTATCTCCTGATTCTAATTATACTAGAATTAGTGTATGTGCGTTGCACGTGTATTATGTGTTATGCACAAAAGAACCTATTTTAATAGGTAGAATAAGAAAGAATTAAATATAAAGGTAATTGATGATGCAATAAACATTTAAATGGTAAGCTGTCAAAATAGTGTATATGAAATTGAATAAGAATGAATTAAGTTTAATAGCAATTGATGATGCAAAAAAGTTATTACATTAACGAAATAGTTGTATTCAATGTGTAGACACTAAATTGAGTATTAAAATGAAGTTTGGATGTGGTGATGTTACTGGACCCATTAGCTGGACTATTGCTTATTCTCTGTCATCTGTCGAAGAATGTTGATGTGTGCTAGGAAGAATGTTGCTTTAATTGTTACTGGTAAGAGGAAGGCACCTCTAATATAAAACGGTATTGTCGACGCATTCAGCGAAACAATTCAGAATCTATAAAATAAATATAATATATAGTTATAATATATGTAAAATTCATATATAATATGTATACTTAATTTGTGTATAGTTGAGGAGATTTCATAAAAAAGAAAATATTAACATATTATTATAGTCTTTCTATCAACCCTGAAATTTATAATTAAACATATTAATTATGAAGAAATATTTAACATTTTAAACTAAAACTTCTAACTTACATCTCGTTGATAAGCACTATCTCCCTTCGTTTCTTTGCATCTTCTCCCATTGAGGGTTTAACATCCACTAAAATTCCAACTATATCTAAAAAGAATATTAAAACAAATATATGTATGTTACTAAAAAATTAATAAGGCGAATAGAAGTAAAATATTATTTATATATTTAGTGAAAGATTACTGGATGAAATTTAAAGAACTTACCAAAAATTGTTCCATTGGTGCAGTTTGATGCCTCATCGAATGAAATAAAATTATTTGAAAAACCAATGGTCGAAAAGCGATTGTTGCTTTCTTCAACAAAAGTATTCTCCTTAAATCCAATCTCAAGCTCCTTGTGCACTGATTGAAAATTAGGATTAACACTATTAATGCCTCCGTTTATGATGTAACCGATCTTGTTTTGTGTAAATGTTCTTTCCACTTCTCAATATAACCACTAAAAAGTGTAGCGTAAATTTTTGTTCCCTGTAAAAAGTTCCACTTTAAGTTTAATCTGATGGTTAAAACTAATATCAAAAGACATGAAATAAATTACTTATATAAAATAATATTTACCTCTTTATCAACTAATGTCACAATTTTTTCGGGTGCCTTGATTTGTCTTATTGTTGAACTTTGTTACTATTCCACTCCTAAACACTAAGACTCGTATTACCCAACATAAAGAAGATACTCTTACACTATTAATTGGGACACATTGGTTTGACAATTCTTTTTCACTGACCATTACAGGTGTACCTAAAATAAAGCATGAGTAAGAGTTTTATAAGTTATCAAAGTGACTAAATCCATAATTGATTTTTTAATGATATAAGGAAGATTATTTACCTGAACGGATATAATTGGTGAAACCTGAATGAATCAAGCATGGCAATTGCAAATAACATAATTATAAATCATGTTGTATTAATATTACACAAAATTAAATGAGATAGTCTAATTTTTAATTTTTTTTTAAAACAAGCAACTTGAGGTTGCATAAGAATAAGTATTATTAATTATACAACAAAGAAAAAAATTACTAATATTTAAGTAATAAAACTTAGGTCGAATGTCTAACCAATTTTTGCAATGAATTGCAATTATTCAATAACCAGTATTAAATGTGTAAATTACGTGAGAGGTGAAATTAGCCACGTCTAAAACATGAAACAAAAAATTATATAATAAAAATTTCTTCATGCAACACTAAAGATAAATTCTCGATGCAACATTAACAATTGATGCATGTAAATGTGCTTGCAAAGTACGAAGTAGCAAAAGATGTTGATATTAATAAAAGAAACAAAACCTGCAATCACGATGTTGGAATATGGCGAAGTTTGACGATTAAATTGTGACAATATAACTTCTTTTATAGACACAATTTGACACATGAAAGGAATAATATGCTCGTGGAGAATCTAATACTACAAAATTTTCTAGTTTAGATAATTTAACAAATAATGTCATTTGTTGAGGTTAGAACGAAGCACTAATAGTTAAGGAAAAAAAGTTATTAACTTTTCTAGTGTACAAGAAAATTACCAATTATTTACTACTCCAAAGAATAAAGGGAATTTAACCAACTCCAATAGACATACGGTTATTTAATGAAAGTGAACCAAGTGTATCTTTCCGTTTTTTTAAAAATTTCAAAAAAAAAAACCAAGTAGCGAAAGTTAGGAATTTTTTTATTTATTTATTAACTTTCCTTGTTTAAGAAACTTGAAGAAAAATTGATTTATTAACTTTCCTTTTGTGAGAAACGTGAAGAAAAGTTATACCAAATAATTAAGGCAAAATTTACTAACAATTAATTCTAGCAAAATATACCAAAATTAAGTAAATGAATATTTTTAATTATTAATGAATAACTTAAATTACTATATTGTCCCATGTGAATTGTATATTTTAAAGGGTATAAAAGGCGAACGACATTTCGCTAATGACCATCGTGCTTTTAATATAACTAGTTTTAGCATACGCGCGTTGCGCGTGTCCCTCGTGTTAATAAAAAATAAAATTTTATAAATAAAATAAATAATATTCAAAAATATGTTTATGTTATTATATAAAATTAAGAGTAGTTCTTCCTTAGGAGTTTGATCTAGTCTAATAGTTCTTCCTTCAGTTGTTTCTCTTGCTTACTTTATTGTACAAAAAAATTATAGGAGTAGCGTTTGATTGAAAGGTAAAAAAATCATTCAACTTTACTTGAGGACTTGGGTACATACATTGCATGTATATTTCATGTTACTTATTAAAAAATTTATGTAAGATAGTTTACCAACAATTAATTTTTTTTTCTTTACTCATTTTATGGTATTGCTAAAGTTGTAACCTTATTCTATTGATAACTTAATAATCATATAGGCATCCGAACTCGATTATTATTAACAATTTTTATATTTTTTTTTGCTCAATTATTATCTTATTTTACCTATAATTTCTTTCTAAAGTACTTTTACTCGCGACCGATTACATATATATATATTCTTTTTCTATTCCTATTTTTGTGTACAAAATATATATTGATCAACTTATTCTACCATTTAAAATAATGTCACATTTAAAAAAGATTATCATTTGATTATTTCTTAATATTTAGACAATAAAAATGGACAAAACTTGTAAGTATATTTCAAATTCTACGTTCTTATTGTTAAAAGAAAATAGAATGTCACAATTGCTTTTTAAAGTCTAAATTCATGCCACCTTAATATGAATTATCATTAATGTTTTCATTTTTTTTAAATCAAAACTATGACTTAAATGCACTATTTCTTACGTGCCTTTTTAAATATTAGGCATAAAATTGATGGATCAGTTATTTACTTTAATTTTATTTAAAACACACGTTATTTACTTTTTTTCACATAATATATATCCATGAAAGCAACATGTAAGAATTATAGTTATGTGACATATATAATTCAAATAAGGAAAATATTTAAGTTAGGTAAAACTTTAATTGACTTTAAAGTCCTAAATTTTAGGGTTTCCTACCTAGTTCAATGGAAAATAATTTAATAAAAAACTTTTTAGTCAATTTCAAAGAACTAAATATTAGGAGAATAATTAAATGACTATTTTGTCTAGTGTGAACTCCAATTTTAAAGGGTAAAAAAAGCGAACGACATTTTGGTAAGGGTTTTCGTGCTTTTAATATAGTATAGATATACAACACAAATTTGAAGAATCCGCAGGTCAAAATGGCCACTCACAATACGATGAAGATGAAAATAAACTTAAACCAGATCCCATATCGTGTCATCTTTCTGTCCCTCAGCAAACTCTTTTCCCTGTCGTCACCACATATCTCCTCCTATTGACTAGAATGAGACCGTTTCTTGAATTGAATTGTGTAGTCCCCTTTGCTCGAATCTCCATCTACAACATAGACTTTTGGCATAGGTCAAATAATAATTAAGTTAACATGATGATTATAAAAAAAAATCGATCGCTATCTGCCATTGAATTAGGCAACAAACAACATGGTGTAACTTTTTGTAGAAAATTGTTTTTAAGTATTTTCAACAATTTAAAGCTACCAAACTACATATTACTATATTTAGAAGCCACATTTAAAAGTGTACGAACACAGCACTGAACATTGTACGTAAAGCAGTGAAAATTGTACTATAGAATTTTTGGTTGCTGAATATACATGTGGATTCCACTTCTCTTCAGTAAATTTCGTGTATTTGTAATACGGCATTCACTACGCTATTTGAGTCTTATAATAATTAGGTCTGCAATTTCCTTTCCACTCTGCTCCTCCTCCTTTTCCTCTGTGCAATTGCTACTCTTGCCTTGCTTGGAAGTGTCATTTCTCTGTTTGATTAGTTTTTCAACTTTTATCTGCGCTTCTCTTTCTTCTCCAATGTCAGATCTATATGTTTTGCTGAGTTGCTTCAATCTTTTAAAGCATAAAGTAAGCTTCTCTGGTGGTCTCTGATGGCACCAAAAAGGTAAGTTGTGGGGTTCTCCATGTCCAATTTGGGAAACAAAATCCATGCATGTGTTCATTGTTGATAATCGAGTTTTGCACAGGTAAAGTAAACTCCGGCAAAGCAAAGAAGAAGCTAGGTTTAGAATTAAAGGGTTCAAATAGAATTTTCAAGAATCATAAGTTTGCAATTTTCTTGTTCGTGGTCTCAATTATTAGAAAACATCAACTTACATTATTTAACTATGCTTCATTTATTCTAATTTGATTATTTGACTTAAGTTTATCTCTTGTAATTTTAAGGATATGGGTCATCTTATTTAGGAAGTCTTTTCACCAATATATTGTTCTTCAATTTAGCTTTGTTCTATCCTCTTCCTCTATCTGATTACGTTCTTTTAATCCTCAGGGTTTCTCATATTTACTTTGATTCTCTCTCCCTTGTTGACTCCTTTGAACTGCAAGCTCTTTATTTTGGTGAGTTTTCTCCAATTTTTCTTTGTTATTATACTTTATTTTTAATCATAATTTACTAGGTTTGTTTGCTCTTGTTCTTTTGGTGGATATATGTCATAAAATTTGGTATGATCTACGCATCTATATTTGAAAATATATACCTAGGTCCATGATTATAAATATTTCATGAATAAACTTCAACTAATTTTTTTGGTAATTAAACTTAATCCGAAAAGTAATGTTACTTCAAGAACTCTACGGAGATTATGATTCTTGAAGAACACTAACTTGAAGCAGAACGAGTGATTCACTTTAAAAATTGTTCGTTTCAGAAATGAAACCCAATCCAATTTTCATCTCTACTTCGTTTTCTCTTTAGAGTGAGAATGCCACTAATTAGCCTTTTTTTTCTTCAGATTATCGAGAATTTATTAGGATTATGAGAGTTCCCTTGAAGCTCAATTGAGTTCCACTGCTTTAGTGCTTTTGCTGTGACTTTTGGCTTGAATGGGCTGCATGGAAGCAATTAGGTATCCACTCCTAATTCTATGGTTTCGTGGTGTTATTGTCAAGGATGTAAAGATTATGCATGAAAGGTTTCACCCAAAAGTTGGCCAGCTACATGCTAAGGTGAGTTGCATGAGGTCCTCTCTTTGTCAGTATTTTCATTTAGCTCAATGACTGTTTCTGTAATGTTCTTTTTGGTATTGTTGTTTGATTTCATTTCTTGAATTGAGATTACAGGATTTTGCCATACTATCATTATAGTAGAATAAAGTTTCTATAGCAGCCATAAGTGAAATTTCTCGGTTTGGGAGCATAATTGAAATACTCCAACTACTCTTAGATTGCAAGCAACTCAATATTGGTATTCATATTGTTAATAATAAATAAGGAAACAATCAGAAAAGTTTGGATCAGAAAATTGAGGAAGCAGATACATTTTATATCACTTGAATATTAGAGTATTAAGTTAATAAATTTATGTGATAAAAAATGTCAGGGATCTTAACACTTTGTCTATGCTGAGTTAGCTATCTGTTGAATCTCATTTATATGTATTTTTGGTTTGTTGAGGAGCCCCCTATCTTGAGCCAAAAAAATCTGAAGCTTTTCCTAATTATGCAAATAAAAAGTATACGTGTAGGTTTTTGCACTCTTATATGTTGGTGATTTTGTTAGTAATATGTATTCGAAAATATATTTAAAAATAAAAACGCTGTAAAAGCAGAAATGCAGAAGAAAAGAATTATTCCGAGCCCACTGAATTCACAGTGTTTCCTTAAGGAACTTAATCCCCTCCTAGTACCCGAGGTTGTGGATTATTTTCTCCCAGAATAGAACGGGTTACCCTTACTGGTGTAGCGGTACTTCAAAACCCAGTGACAACGAGCGGAAGAACAGTAGTAAATCACACTTACTACTTTCTTTTATGTTAAAACAATGCAGAAAGAAGAAGGAGAAATTGGAATTTTCGTAAGGAAACCTGAGGGAGGTTTCATGTATTTATAGCCAAAAAAAATTGGGTTATACTGAAGAGTTACAACTCTTCATGTATGGTTGCAACTCAAAATGGTTATTTCATAAAATGGCCATTTCTGCAAACCGCCGAATTCAATTATTTCGGAAAAAATAAAATGGAGAAAAATTGAATTACCGTTATAGAAACAGTCTAATTTGGATTAATTAATATTGCGTTAATATTAACAAATAAATTTGGTCCAAAAAATTAATCAATCAAATCATTTGACCAAATCCGAATCCGAAGCCGAGTGAGCGACGACGAGACGCTTGTCTTCTTATCAACTCTGTAAGAGCTAGAAGAAGTGCAATTGTATATATACCCGTCAAAACTCTTTCCTCCTCCAATATGCGACAATGTCCCTTTGTCAAAGAGGAAAATTCAAAAAAATTCATTTTCCATTCACTCTATTTTAAGCTCTAAAAAGCTTAAAACCCAACAGATTTAGCGGTAAGCCAGAAAATAGACTACAATATGTGAGCTTGGAGCCATATACTTATTATTTGGAAAACTCTATTTGCACCGAGGCATTAATCAGGGATAAAGGTCGTTATCAGGATGATGAATTCAAATTCTATTGTAGCTTCAACTGGTCTCGGCAAAATAAAAGATGCAAGTATCGAAGTAATAACAAGTATTCGGGGAAGAACTCTTCAGGAAGCTTAGTGAAGTTTATATGCATTAAATGCTGACTGGAAAGCCATTTGTCATAATCTGGTATAATTTGATATGCTACTGATAATGTATTTTAGATTTTGATGCTGCAAACTTCACTCGTCATATGTGAATATTAACAAAACTAAAAAATGGATCTGTCTAAGCTTTTATCTTCACTGAATGAAAGAAATAAGTTTTCTGGACTAAAAATTGTAATCCATCTAAATCATTGTGAAATGTGTTTTATATCCTATTTTTGGGGTATCTGACTGTCTTATCATGCATTTGCATTCACAGGAAAGTTTAATTTTGAATAATCTTCAGCTTTTAATGCATTCAGGTGGTAAATTTCAATGTTACTATCTTAGTTGAGTTATTCGGGCCTCGATGTGTAACTGACAAGCTCGGACACCCACATAGAAAAAGACAACTACAATCTTCAATGGTCTTGCTACCAATGCAGTTGCTGATGTCGATGCTCAAAAGTTCCTTGCACAGGTATCCTTTTGATAGATGTCATTTTCAACGGGCATATTTATAACTTTTTTTTTCATAAGGTCTTCTAAAACGGAATCTTCATGAGATAAGAGTATAGATTAAGATATATGTGAGATGATAAATATATATTTGTGCTATTAGTTATGGCTTAAAAGTAACGTGCTGAAAAAAATGGTGATGACGGAGGAATGATAAAGACTGAATGAACATGTTAAGGGACCAATGCACCATTCATGTATGTTGTGTTAGTATTGATGATGCTCAGATTGTGGTTGGTTATTCAGCTTTACCATGCTAAGCTTCGAAAATGATTTAGGCTTCTAGAGCACTCTTAACATGATAAGTAAACATTCTAGAAGACTTTGAAGTGGTTATGTATGAGTAAAGAAGAGGAGACATTTATGTTAAAGAATGAACTCAAATCCTCTTACATTGGTTCTTTTCTTCCAGTTGATACGTGTAACGATCTGGCCGGTCGTTTCAAAAATTATTGCCCCATCCCCCCATTTACTACTCCTTTTGTATTCTACAGATGTTATATGACTTACCGTATTGGTTGCTTTGGGTCCGGGGAGATTTCAGAGTGAATTGAGACACTTAGTCTCCTAATTGAAAGCTTAAGTTAGAAAAGTCCTTCGGATGTCGACTTATGTGCAAACGATCTCGGATTTGAATTCTAATGGTTCCGTTAGCCCCGTTACGTGATTTTGGACTTATGAGCGTGTCCGGATTATAATTTGGAGGCCCGTAGTAGAATTAGGCTTGAATTTGCGAAAGTTGGAATTTTGGAAAGCTTGACCGGGAGTAGACTTTTTGATATCGGGGCCAAATTGGATTTTTGAAAGTTGGAGTAGGTTCGTGGTGTCATTTATAGCTCGTGTGCAAATTTTGAGTTTAATCGTACGTGATTTGATAGATTTCAACGTCGTTTGTAAAATTTAAAAATTTCAAAGTTCATTAGGCTTGAATCCGTGTGTAACTCGTATTTTATGTTGTTTGAGGCAATTTGAGGGTTCAACTAAGTTGGTATGATATTTTGGGACTTAATTGTATGTTTGGTTGAGGTCCCGAGGGTCTCGAGTTGATTTCAAATGGTTAATGGATCATTTTTTGACTTAGGTTATTGGTTGAAATTGTTTGCTCATCTAGTTTCCTCTTATGCGTTCGCGAGGGAGATCTCACGTTCGCCTAGTGTACTTGGAGGCTGATGAAAGTTTTTTCTTTGTGTTCACTAAGAGGAGCCCGCGTTCGCGGAGGTGTGGTCAGTGGAGGCATCGCGAACGCGAGAAGAGTAACGTGTTCGCGAAGAGGAGTGAGGTAGCTGGGGACCCCAGCCTTTTGGTCTATGCGTTCACGGAAGGATAGTCGCGTTCGCGAAATGAAGGGTCAGTGAAGCATCGCGTTCGCGGTTGGTTGGACGCGTTCGCGAAGAAGGTTTTGGGCGGCAGAATCATTTGTGCTAGGCGAACACGAGGGAAAAGCCGTGTTTGCGATGAACGAAATATCTGGGCAGCAATGTTAAATTTCAAAAACGAGGGTTTGACCTATTTTTCATATTTTGAGCTAGAGACCATGGATTTGGGCGATTTTTGAAGATTGGGGTAAGTGATTCTTACTTGGTTTTAGCTAAATTCCATGATTATGCCTTTAATTACGTCATCTAAGTTGCGATTTGGGGTGAAAATTTGGGAAAAAAGAGGAAGAGCTCTTGAGTTAGATTTTTGAGGTTTTGAACGGAATTTTGTTATTGGATTTGGATAAATATGGTATGATTAGACTCGTGAGTGAATGCACTTTCGGGTTTTGTGATTTTTGTTGAATTTCGAGATGTGGGCTTGGGGGCTGGGTTTGAGCCGATTTCGGATTTTGGCTATAATTTAGTGTTTTTCTTGGGGAATTGATCATTTTAGCCTATATTAATTATATTGTACTTCTTGTAGCTAGATTCAGGACGTTTGGAGACCGATTTGAGAGGCAAAGTTATTTTAGAGTAGAATTTTGCCCAGATTGAGGTAAGTAACACTTTCAAACTTGGTTTTGAGGGTTCAAAACCCCGAATTATGTGTTATATGATTGGTATTGAGGTGACGCACATGCCAGGTGACGGGTGTGCACCATGAAAATTATGACCTGGTTGATTCCATGGAACTGTATAGTGATACTATCTTGTTGATATCTGTGTTTTCTTCATGTGATAAAGTAATTGAGCTGTCAATCATGCTAGATATCATGTTTAGGCTTTATGCCGGTATTGTTAGGACCCATAGTGGTCGTTTCTTGCTGTCACTTTACTGGTTTTATTGATATTTTGTACTCAGTCACATTCATTCATTTCATATCATATTTTAGTCTTAGTTGTTATACATCATATTGTTATTTCGGGCTAGTTTTCATGACATTGTGAGCCTATGAGTGAGACTGGAAAGATAATGACTGAGTGATGCCGAGATCCTAATTATGAGTAACAGTTTTGGGATCGGGCTGCACGCCGCATCGGTTATACAAATTTATGATAGCGCTTGGGCTGTGAGAGCCCCTCTGGAGTCTTTACACACCCCCAATGACGCGATTGATATTATTGATGGATGGATCTTTCCTGGACATAGATCTTGTCCAAAGCACTTGAAACCTAGAGATGGATCTTCTCCACATGGCTTGATTGGCCTTCCTCGGCACTAGGTGACTGATGGTTAGTGATGTATATATTCCGTGATGGATCTTCCCTGGGCCGTATGGGCCATATACAATGCCGAGTGGTTGAGCCTTTGAGAGTGTGAGCACATAAGGCTGTCAGTATGGTGTATCACATACAACATGTGCATTGGCATGTAGAGATAGAAGAGTTATATTCTTCACATTGTTCAGATATGATCTATTTCATTATTTTGAGTTGTCTATTTAACTTGAAACCATGCCTATATTTCTGCACTGTTGTTTCTATTTTTAACTGTACCGGTTAAGTTCGTCGCTACCTTTCAGTCCAAAGGTTGGACTTGTTACTTACTGAGTTGGTTTTACTCACGTTACTCCCGGTACCACGAGTGCAGATCCAGACGCTTCTGGTCATAGTAGTTGCTGATTGAGGAGTCAGATCCCGGAGACTATTGTCACGACCCTAAACCTAGACCCGATCGTGATGACGCCTCTCATGAAGACAAGGTCAGCCGACACAACACCCAATTCAGTTTAAGCAATTAAAATAACACAATTTCAAGTCTTTAACATGATTAAATCTCAAATAAACAGTGAAACAGTACAATTTGCGAAAAAACCAACACAGCCCGACATCGGGGTGCCACCAGTCATGAGCATCTACCATAAGTCTACAAGTCTGAAAGAGGTTTATACAGTCTATTACAGAACTAAGAACAGAAAGTAAGATATGAGGGAGAAACACTGGGCTGCGAACGCCGAGCAGCTACCTAGTCTCGTACTGGCAGGACCTGAAGCTCCTAAATCTACACACAGGGTGCAGAGAGTAAAGTGAGTACTCCAACTCAGTGAGTAATAATAATAAATAAAGACTGAGCGATAAGAAATCACGTAAAAATACAATAACATGCTATAAAGAAGCAGTGTAAAACCAATAAAAGGCAATGAATCAGTGAAATCCTATAAAAAAACACCTTAGTTCAGAATAAATTTCTTTAAAACACACTTTTAACTGTTAAACAAGTAATTGAAAAGCAGCTAGAAAAGATAAACACATAAAATCTGTCCCTCGGGCACAATGTCAACAGAATCAGCCCCTTGGGCAATAACATGGAACAGCACCAGCCCATCGGGCTATATCTTATATCACAATGGGTACCCACGCTCACTGGCGGTGTACAGACTCCGGGAGGGGCCCCTTACGGCCCAAGCGCAATATCAAGCCATCTCATGGCATAATCAATAGGCTCTCGGCCTCATATCAAGCCGCCTCGTGGCGTACAACTCAGGCCCTCGCCTCATATCATAATCAGTACAACACTGCTGCGGCGTGCAGCCCGATCCTATAATAATCCTCACAACATAGACCCTCGGCCCTACTCAGTCAGAAATCTCTAAAAGCCACTCGGGCACAATAAAATATGATGCTCAGCCCAAAATATCATTTAAAGTGTTAAAACAGAGTAAACATGGTTGAGTTATGAAAACAGTATAATATAGCATGACTGAGTACATATATAAAAATCAAAACAGTGATGAAATAACAGTAAAAATCCCCTAAGGGTCTAAATAGTTGGCACGAGACCCAAATATGGCATTCAGCCCAAAACATGATGATAACAAACAGTTTTCAATCAAATACGCGGTAAAACAGTCATTCGGGATGGACTAAGTCACAATCCCCAACGGTGCACGATCCCACGCTCGTCATCTAGCATGTGCGTCACCTCAATATAGCACAACGATGTGAAATCCGGGGTTTCATACCCTCAGGATAACATTTACAATCATTACTCATCTCTATCCGGTCCAATCTCTAGCCCGCGATGCCTTAGCCTATCGAATCGGCCTTCGGATGCTCCAAATCTAACCAAAATCAGTGCAAAACCATCATAATATGCTAAGGGAACAAAGCTCATTCGAAAGAAATAAAATTACAACACAAATCCCGAAATTGGCCAAAGCCGACCCCGGGCCCACATCTCGGAATCCGATAAAATTTACATCAATAGACTCCTTATCACTTCCCGAGTTCATACATACCAAGAATACCAAAATTCGACCACAAATGGCCCCTCAAATCCCTAGATTAATGTCTCAAGTTTCCAAGTCCTAACTCCCCAATTTAGGCTTCAAATCCCCCAAATTTCATGTTTAATTAGGTAGAAATCACAAATAGATCGAGTATTAAGTCCAAAAAGCTTACCTCCAATAAGTTCTCTTTGATTCCCTTCAATCTCTCTCAAAAAGCTCCAAAACCGAGTAAAAAATGGTGGACTTAGGCCAAAATTCGCGAAAATGACCTTTTTAAACATTCTGCCCAGCTCTTTAATTTACTTAATCGCG